TAGTAAAGTGAACCGTTCCAAGTGTTCCGCTTTCATAATAGACTATACAACTATACTCAGAACTTCCAGACACCACATTTTGGCGTCATTTAATAGGTCTCCTCTGTCTTTACGACCATTGGCTCCTCAGATTCCATTAAACTGCTCGTTTTCACATATTCAACCAGTCTGAATAGCCATTAGGCATGATGTCATTTATTAGTGAATGAGAATCCGTCACAGGACCTGCTTGGGCTAGCGCCAATGTCGTCAGTGGATTACCTCTAGAAACCATACAGTAGCAGAATAGAAGTGTTCAAATGGGAGATATTCGTCGTTGGTTTTGGAGTGTGCCATGAATTTGTCATCAATTCCGAATCGACTAGGTGTTTGGAACGTCTTGAATGGGTAATCCAGCCTTAGAACAGACGATGTTCAGATCTATGCATTCTGCTCCCTCTCGAGGAAGGAGGAGGGTTGGAGTCCCTGGGAAGGAGGAGAGTGGGAGATCCAAGGTCGGAGCGAGATGATGTCGAGAGCGACGAGTAGCAAATTCTACCTGGAAAACGTATTGTGCTTGGAGGCCTTCGAAGTTGGTCAGTTCAGGCCTATCCGAGCTAACAGTGGACACCCGAGGCCGCGTAGCTGTTGGTCTATCCCAGGGAGGACGTGCTCGGCTCTATCGTCGGAAGTTGATCCCCTGGTCCCCTGGGGCGCATGAGTAGTCTGAGATGTTTTAGGCTACTTGGCCTTCTAAGCACAATGTCTCAAGATCTCGAAACTTCTCACAAGCTCCCAGTCCCTCTACCGGGGACAAAGTTTGATCAAAGGTCTTTTGCCTGTTCTACTTATTTACACTGGATTGAATGACCCGATTCGGCTGGGGTGTGGTTGAGGCCCATTGACTCAAGTGCGACCAGTACCCATTCATCCACCAATAACTCTTTACGGGTGTGTGAGCGAAAATCAACCCCGTCATGAGTGCCGGTCACTCACTTCATACACTCTGCTTCTCTGCGCTTTAGTCTCTAACGACTCTGTCTGCTTGTCTACGACTTCTTCGTCAGCTGTACACTCTCAGACCCGATCGCTTCTGTTGGGTGGCCGGCTGGCTGGCTGGCCGCAAATTGCACGCGCCTTCATTCATTCATACACACACACGCACGTCCATACATCTTCTCGCTATGTTGCGTAGTACATTTTTACGTTCTCTAGTGCATTTTCCGGTCACTTCCGTGTTTTTTGTAAAGAACCGTGCGGCACTTTCGTTTTCATCTCATTCAAGAGACTTTAGAGAATGTATTTTGAAATGGTACTCTCTACAATTGGTAAATATTTAAATAGTTGTTACTAAATAACTCCAAAATCTCTACTCGGAAAATAAAACAGCTCTCGAAATCTCTACCTAGAAACTCGTGCCATATCTGCATTTTTGCACCGGCTTCAAGTTATTTGAGATCGCCCAAATCTACTTTATGCTTGGGTAATGGTGTGAAATCACGGGTATTAGAGGTTCAGCTTGGCATAATTGTGTTTGTAAGGGGATAGTAAAGGAATCTAATTTCTTCATTTGCAATTTAGTCAAATAGAATAGTTTGCTTTCGGATAGGGAACTTATAATTTCCGGTTATTTTTCACAGGAGAACCCTCTATTTTTGAAAAATAAATATCGCTCTTTCACACTCCTTTCGTTCTTATGACTCTCTTCCCCATTTCCTCTTCTTCAGACTGAATAAATTGTTGGGTATGCTGGAGGACGTCATAGTCAGGTCCTGGACGCAAACGGAACCAATTAAAAGGTCTTTGTGGACCCACCTTTCTCGTAATCATCCTGAAGAATAGCTCAGTTGTCCTAGTGAGGGAGTGGGGATGGGTGGGTATGTATATAGAATGGATGGAGGGCTTATTGAAGTGTCAATTAATAAGGTCTAATCTCCCTCGGAACGTATTCGGGACATTCTGAGGCCATACCTTTCTAAACCCCCCAATCTTCCTGCTCAAATCCCGACAACTACAATTTTCCTCCGAACCGTAGCTGTTCCCAGGGAATCTTCTGTTTCAGCTTTTGGAAACTCATGTTTTGTTGTTGTTCTGAGCATTTTCGTTGGGAAAGCTTTTAAAACCCAGGGGTTGCTCATGGGACTTTCTCCTGTTACTCCCACGACCAATCTTTTCTATTTCGAAAGTCAAGTAATTGAACTCTGTGCTTTCAGTCTCACCAGTTAGTTGGACAATCCGATTTAGTAGTCCCTTGAGGCACTCAGGAAGATGCTCCCTGTCGCAATGATTTTTTTCTCCTCCTTATGATGTAAAAAGGGATTCTCAGCTGCCATGAATGAATAGGCGAAATCTCATGGATGGACCACTGAATCCAATTATCGAGAACGTCACCCACCTCGTGATTCTTTCTTCTCCGTACTTTTGGAATGGGAAGTTCTTACTATGTTGCACTTTTGAATCTGGGAACTCCTACGCAAGCCAAGTGAATTAATAAGTTAGATTCAGAGAAAGAAAAGCAAGCCAGAAAAGTGAAATGCTGTTCTGATGCCTTACATTTTTTTGAATGGATTCCACCATATAATTAATTTCGGTTCCAAATGATGGAATTTCCTGAATCTGTATTGAACCTGTGCAGTAGTCTGAGGAGATAGCTAAAAGTGCAAGTGGATGTACCGTCAGCAGGCGAAGACGAAGTTAGCGAGGCTGCCGTAGACACTTCACAAATATTGGAAGTTCCTTTCTCACGCACGCAGCCAGAGGGCAAATAGGTCCGATCTATCGATGTGTCCGTGGGGAATCCGCTCTTGACTACTGCGCTACTTTCATCTTATTGAACTAGATAAATNNNNCTTTTCTCACTTTCGGCTCACCTTAAAACACTAAACGTTCCCTCAGAAACGTCTATATCATTTCTCGTCTAACAATTACTTTAATGAATGTTGTATAGATTCCATCACTTCTTCACTAACGAACCCCTACGCAGACAACTCCGCCCACCTCGAGGATTGAGTAACAGAAAACCTCCAGCATAGTTCTGCTGCCGGTAATCCGGGAATTTCTTCAACTTTCCAACCATAATTCCCCGAACCCTCACACGGATGTTTTGCCGCCCGCCTCCCATCGTATTGGTTCAGTCCAGTTTCAGGCGAAGGACAATCGGTCGTTGGGTTTTTTTCTCATCAAACGGATCACCCGACTAAATAGAACATCGAATCTCATCGCGGGTCAGCCGTTTCTTTTTCTCAGCTGGTTTCGGTTTAAACTGCGACATCTCCTTTCGTTCTATGGTCGCCTCTATGTTTAGTTTCTTTTTCCTTTCGTGCCCAGTTTCTCATTTTTTTTCTCTTTTTTTTGCAATTCTCCTTCATAATAAATTGCTCATTTATCGCTTATTCTATTTTACTTTTCCATATTTTTTCTTTATTCCTCAACTCATTTTTCTTCTGATCCCTTATCCTCTCCACATAGCAGATTTTAATGGTTGGGTCTCATAAGTCCTTTTTTGTCCAGGATTTCGGGGCCATTTGCTGTTCGCGGTGAGCGTAGCGAACCGCAGGGCCAGGTTACCAGTCTACCAAACGATCCGACCAGCAATTCAGCGATACTGGAGGCATAGGGAACCTGTGTGTGGAGGCGCTTGGCTCATTGGTCCGAGCATAGATGGATACTGGTTTCGACCTGCCGTTAAAACCTCCTTTAAATCCTCCTCCCAAAAATCGTCAAAAATTCTTTCTTCTCTGAACGATCTCATTCTATCCATCTTATTGATCAACTAGCAGTAAGATATCGATCGATTGGTGCTTTGTTACCGGAATTGATTTGAAGCTTAGTAAAAGCCTCATTCCCAGAAACATATGGCGTCATATTTGAGAGCCGTGGTAGAACAGTGGCGTATTGCGGTGCAACCGCACATATGAATTGAGTCAGAACCGGAATTGGGCTAGAGTCAAATCTAATTTCGCTCAATCCAGCTGGATCCTACACCATCTCAAAAAACTGGCACTATCCATTCAAGAAGCTGAATTAGTACCAGTATAGATTCGGGCTTGAATGAGAATGTTTTCTTCAAGCTTGATGGTGTTGCAGGTGTACGGCGCATCCCAAGATGGAGTAATTGACACCTTCCATTGGTTTCTTTTATCTTCTTTCTTCCTCCCAAACAGTTTTCTTCTGTTCCTGTCAGGGAACAATGAAGCCAAAGAAAACTGAGGTACCTGGGAAGTTTCTTCTCTTAAAAGGATCTGTTTAAAGGTCCCAGGATCCAAAAAGTTTTTTGAGGTGAAGACGAGCCATAGGAAGAACTGAAAACTTTAGAACCCCCAGTGCCAGCCATGGACTTTCCGTAACTCTTCTGGAGTTACTTCTAAAAATACTGCCAACTGGATTTTGAAATATTTCGTTGGTGTTTTTCATGTGACAAATTCTGAATGGCTTGTGTTTTCAGCAACATGGCCCGGATGGGTTCTAATGTTGTTTTGCGGGGTAGCCTCCCGAAATAATCAGTTGTTATGCTGTTTTCACCCTCCTCCCCCATTTTTCGTCTCTTTTTCACTTTGTCATTTATGGAAATGGAATTGAATTCATCATTTTATCATTTCATCTCCTTCCTCTTCCTCTTCCTCTCTTCCTCTGATCCTTGTCTTTCAACGACTTCTGTTCAGCACTCGTCATCCATAAATCCACTGGTCTTCGCCCCTCACACCGCGCCCGCAGTCCTATCGCGTTCATTAGTCAGTCGGCCCAATTCGCTGCCAATCTATTGATTGAATCGATCTTCCGGGAAATTAAATGGTCGGAATAAGATCTTTGGGGATTTTCATTCGGGTCTATGGGGAGGTTTCCCATGCAGCTGTAGAGAAAGCTAAAGAATAGGAAGGAACCTGGATTTACGGCTGCAGTAATCTCCCTCGGTGGGATCAGCTGACCTCCACGTCATAGAGAGCTTCGGAATAATCCTCGTGCGGGCTTAATCAGGTCTGCTTGACGTCGTTGTTTTTCCTTGTCGGGTGGCGGCGGCGGGCTCATGAGGAAGAGTACGAGGAGCTCCAATTCGCCATTGTGATCGTTGTCACATCCATGTCAGCTGACCCCAACCAGGATCCAAGCACGCGACCCTGTTGAAATTTCCTAAAAAAGCAAATTCCGAACCACCCAGTTTTTAATGGGCGGAACCCATCAAAAATTAACGACCCTTTTTCCTTTTGTCGGCTGTAATCCACCACAGTCGCTGACGCAACCTGGCGTGGCCTACTGAAGGTCACGTCGTCTCCACCACCACCACCACCACCGTCGTCGCCGCCGTAACCGCCAATGCGCGAAAAGAGGTGAAACCTGTTTTCGGTAGCTATCGATACAATGAACCCTTTTTAGGGTACATTGACATTGAACCTTGGAGGTGGGGGAGCGGGGAGGGGGGGGGGGGGGGNTATGTGGAGCTGAGTTTTTCCAAAACTCCTCAAAAAGGAGACAGTCGGCTCTAGAAATCGAGCTAGCGGTCATCTAGGTGAAAATGTTCTTCTGTATGGAACAGGGTCCATCCTTTTCACAAAAACTTATAGATTAAGACATTTTCCAAGAAATTTTCGTCCTAGTTGCCCCGCCTTGAATTTCTTCTCCTTCATCTCCATCTTCTTACAGAGCCACCATCATTCGGTCGTTCCTCTTTTTTTATTTTCATTCCATTTGGCTGTATTCGTAAGGAACGAAGTTGGTAATTCCCGAGTAAACTTCAAACTTTTCCAGAAAACTTAATCTTAATGGAGTCACTTCAAGTCCGAGAATTCGATTGTGTCAATTCCCAGTTACTTAAATTGTTGCTTTTTTGTATTCGACAGTTTGCAATGGCTAGAACTAATCAGAGCATACACCTGAGGCATTTCCTATTCGTTCAGTGCCCTCCAGATGAGATCCGTGGTACGATTTAAAGGGTGAATCTGGGGCAAAAGTCAATGATTCAGGGGAAAAGCTTTTGAAACTTCAGCCATAATAGTCGTGAAAACTGAAGCTCCGCACTTCTTTACCTCCCACGCCGACCCTTTATGACGACCGGTCCCGTGAGGCCTCATGGACTTGGCTGGACGATTCTAAGCGAGATCGGAAAGCTGAATTTTGAGTGACTGACCGGATTCCACTGAAGTAAAGGCTTCATATAAACTTGAGGGGGACCAACTATACTGTGCACTAGTAAAATTAAAGAGAGGGCTTCAGAATAGAAGGGGCCTTCGATAGGCTTACCTCTTCGTACTAATCTTTTTCCAAGACCTTTTTGCAAAGTGGAAAGCGATTCGCGGTTCCAGGGAAAGCTTTCCTCCAGCTGTACGAAATCTAATGAGGCGTAAATGGAGAATGATTACGGAAGAAATCCAGGGCCAATGTAGCATTGCCTACCACAGATTGTGCGATTACAGTACTCTTTACTCCGGTTGCCCGGTAGGAAATCCTCATGGAGAAAAGTGGTTCAGAGCAGGGTTCCGGGGAGGCAAGACCCATGGAGTGAACGCAGGGTGCTGTACCACAACTTTCTATAATTTTTCCTGAATCACTCATTTAATCAAAAAACAATATTTGATGGTTTCCCCCTCCAAATCCTCTAGGATGTTGTGTTGAATTCATTCTGTGGCTCTCGAATTCGGAATTGCATGGTCATTATTTTCCGAAACTTCGCGAAATCCCAGAGGAAATCCAACTCACTTCGCTCTGCTAAAGTCAATCTTCAAACTATGTAGCTACTCGCTTGCAATTTATTCAAATTTGACCTGTTGGCTCTAAACTCCCAAAAAACTCAGTTTATTTTTGTTTGTAAGGGGATAATAGTGGTGGTGTAGTAGCATGTTCTGCCCTATTACACATGCACGATCACAGGATCGAATCCCGGATCGGTAGCCACTTAGGCCAATGGGCTCCCATCCCTCCTAGGTTCGCTAACTGGTACCAAACTCGTTTGGGAGGGTAAAATTATTGCCTTGTGCATCGGCTGGTCACCGCAAGTCACTGTATGGGTCGCATACGCATTCAATCCGCCACGATGATTCTGAATGGAAGTCGAATGCGAGGCGCGTCCCTCAGGTCAACGCCAATAAACTTCACTTTTGAACTTTAAAGTAGGACAGGCGCTACCCATGTAGTGTCGTCAAAAGGTTTATAGCTCTAATTTCATTTTTATCTCTTCTTGTGGAGTCTATAGGTCCTTTTTACAGCACCATAAAAGGTTATCGTAATGCGCCAAGTGTAAACCCCTTTCATTTCTGAAAAACAAGAGAAATACTACTTTTTCGGGGGAACAGCTGGTTTCCAAGGTTGTATCGATGCAATTAGCTTGAAGAGTCGGTGAAATCATTCATGGAAGAGCTTTGGCCTCAGCAATCAGTTGCTCTAACCAACGCCGATAACTGCGTCGGTGTTTTTGTTCGACCTGGCCCCGATAGCAGCAGCGTCAGCCCCATAACTGCCCTAACTCGGTGGAATAGACTTTCTGTATGAATTATTTTGAAACTTTCAATCAAAACCTTGATTTAATGCTTGTTGTACAGTGTGTGAGTAATCAAACCCTGTTCGGATGACGCTGTGGTCGGGGCTCAGTCCCAAATCCAGTTTTCCGGGTCCGAGTCCCGTCCGAGGCCCAATGTCCTGCCCATAAATCATCGCGCCATTATGATAACATTGTGAAGAGTATTTTGAAGAATTCTAAGTGTCTCTACGAGTGTCCAGCGCGAATGCTTAGTGAGTCGATGATGATGCTTTTTCTTCGGATGTCTTGCAACATCTGGTCCGACATTGCTCCGGCATCGAAAAACTGCCCTTTCGTCGTGTGGCGTCCTGTTTTTTCTTTCGTCAGAATCTGATTTAACTCCGTCTTCGTCATGCACTTACGGAGAAGGAACTCTTGAGGGAGGATCAGAAAATGGAGCGCAACTCCTGTCAGTACTCTTTACTCTTTTTCATTGGGTAAGGTAGTGGATGATCCCCTCGGTGCATTCAGAAAAGTGCAACTCCTTCAACTTATGCCCGATGTTCTTGAGCAATCTAAATACTTGAGTTTGAACTTCTATCAGATGAAAGCCACCCCCCAAAAGACTCTCGAATGGTCTTCAAGTCCAATCCATAAGCCCTCAAGAATGCGCCATGCCGCTGCACTTCACCTTACATCGTAATAATGGCCTGGTAACTGACGTGTTGCATCGCATCGCATCTGATAACAAGGGCACGGTAGCGAATCTATACTTTGTTCTTTACTGACTGATTTTTCACCCAGATGATCCCATGACGTTCCGTACCATGATATATTTGCCTACCGCTTAGAAATAGAGATGACGAAGTGTGTTTGTGATTGATGTGTTTCTTAACTGGATGCGAAACAAACCCTTTCACAACACTCCTCCCCAACCGAACGCTTTTTTTGGTTGATATTTGGCATTTGAGACTCTTATCACTCTGTGTCTCAGCTCTTCTTGAAGAGCGGTACCCCAAACTAGTAAGAAATCAAAACCTCGACGTTGATCAATCCCATTTTGGTAATCACCTTTTTGACTATGGGATGCATCCAACTTTAAGGATAGTGTAAAGCAGTTCTTGGCCCACAAAATTGCTGGCAAAATCCGGGGAAAGTGCAGTACACTCCCAGACGAATACGGCTCAAATTGCTCGGGAATGGCCCAAAAAAAGTTGAGGGTCCACTAGTTTAGGCCGGTAGGTTTCGATCCAAATTTGTTCCATACTTCATGTATGCATGGGGTTCAAGGCACCTACTGCTCTCTAACTCCTGGAGGAAGTTGCCTCACGAACCCATTCGGTGAAAACCCTTTTGACTTTGGGGTTTATTCAACTCTCAACGGGAAGGGTACAGAGTAACATCAGAATTTATTTTTAGCCTATTTGGTGTATAAAGGAGGGCGCATCTTCCCGAACGAGTACGGTAGAAGCCGAGGTTGATCTAGCCGGGGAAGAGTTCAAGTTAAGCTCGTCAGGCCGGCAGGTTACAATCCGAAATTCGATCATGATTCGTGATGTGTGATGTCG